ATGGATTTATATCCTGCCTTTTTCCTACAAAGGGCTCAAGGCAGCTTACATCATCTCTCCTCCTCCATCTTATCCCCACAACAACAACCCTGTGAGGTAGGCTGGGCTGAGAGTCTGTGACTGGCCCAAAGTCACCCAGTTGGCTTTTATTTATTTATTTATTTATTTGGACCCCAAAAAAAAAAAGGAGCGACTTTTGGGGGCCGAGCGACTGCCAAGCGGGCGAGTGACACCATGCTGGGTCCTTCCAGAAGCACGCTGGATTTTCCAAAGCATTTTGGGGGAATGGATAGAGTTTGAAACGCTTTAGTGCTTTTGCAATAAGACGTTGCACAAGATAATCTTCTGAAATTTATTTTTCATCTGGTCTGCCTCTCATTCATTCATGCATGCATGCATGCATGCATTTGATTTATAGCCTACCTTTTTCACAACTACCTCAAAGGGGCTTACATCATTCTCCTGCTGCAAGTCTTACCTCCACAACAACGACCCTGTGAGGTGGACTGGGCTGAGAGTCTGTGACTGGCCCAAAGTCACCCAGTTGGTTCTGTGGCCGAGCGGAAACTAAAATCCAGGTCGCCTGGCTCCCAGGCCCCTGCTCTTCATTACTACGCCACGCTGGCTCCCTTTTTATTCTGCAGCTTTCTTCCTTGCAGCAGCCTGCCCAAGACTGAAGTACCTTGGGCACATTCTGTGTTGACAAAGGAAAGGACGGGGCCTTATTAGTTGTCGCACCCCACCCGTGAGACTCTTTCCCAAGGACGGTGCAGATGGTGCCAGCCCTGCAGCCTTTTCACCCTAAATCCAAACTGTTTTGTTCATCCAGGCATTTTAACTGGCTGGTTTTGTCTCTTCCCCCATTGTATTTCAGCCCTCATGATTTGTTTTTATGACAATGTGTTTGGGGTGGAGGTTTTCAACAGAAAAAAATTGCATTATGTATATTTTCCTATTAATGTATAATAGCATTGTGTGTAATTTAACACAATGGTATTATGCACAATAAAATATTGATTTTATTTATTTAATTAATTTAAGACTTTTTAATACTGTCCACTACCAAGGTCTCGGGATGGTTTGACAGTAAACAGAAAAGAGCAAAATAAAATACAGCATCCTAATTATTCTGTTTATTATTATTTATTATAATTAACATTTATTATGTTTAAAGTTTACTCAAACATCTATAATTTAATACATATTTATGTATACACTGTAATTTTATTCTTTGGCAATATAAGGATGAAGCACAACTTTTAAACATTTTAATTAATGATTCTCCCCTCTTAAATTGGCAAAGGCTAAACTAAAAAGTTATTATCCTTACTACTAGCCATTTACGTAGCGTATTGCCAGCATTCAACGCACTTTATAGACACCGCTCTGAACAATATTCACAACAGCCCTGTAGGGTGGTTTGGCAGCATCCGTCCGTACTGCAGATGGAGCCGTGGCTGAGACGGAAATCTGGCCTCCCTCTTCCAGCTGCTCTTGAAGATCCCACACACCTGTGACAGCAAAAGAAACACACAGCCAGCCTGTGGAGATGCGAATACCCCCCTCTTCCCCTTTGCAGCCAACGGGAGGGACTGTCCTGCATCCCTGCAGGCCGAATGTGGGTTTTCCACCACCTGCCCTGCATCAAGAGCCTCCATCAGTGTGAAGGACGAGCAAGACGGGGCTGGCACGGTCCCTCGCTTGCACGGGCCTCAGGAGCTTTGGGTGCAGAAGACCCAAGCATGTCTTGTTACCGCGCTCTCTCTCTCTCTCTTGTGCTCACACCCCATCCTTCCAGGAAGACAAATCCTGCAGGCAAGAAACCGGTGTGTAAACAAAAAGAAGCTAAGGACACAGATCAGTTCATTTTTTTCTTCAGAACAAGCTAGGAATTTCTGTAGTCGGCACAGGAAATAGGCTAATGAGAGAAGTCTGTAAAGAGAGCAAAACAAGATGAAGTTTGCAGTCCAAGGCTGCGTCTCTGACAGCTGGAGAGGAAGAAAAGATGCCAGAACTCTTGCGCAATTGTTGCCTGTTGTTTTCTAGAGAAAGCTGAGTAATACTGCTATTAGCAATCCTTTGGAAAAAAGGCAGCTGCACTGTCTGACTACCACTATTTCAGAGACCCGGGTTTGTGGCTTTAAAACATCAAGATTTTGCAGTGAAAAGCCATACAAAAAAACCTTGAAAGAAAAGGGCTCCATTTGGAAGAATTATGTAGCCAAGCCAGCCCATTCTTGTAGCCTTATCGGCATCTTATACTGCCTGGCTTTGAACACTGCTGCTAGCAGAAAGGCAGCTTGTCCATATATATATATATATATATAGTGATTTATATCCTGCCTTTTTCCTACAAAGGGCTCAAGGCAGCTTACATCATCTCTCCTCCTCCATCTTATCCCCACAACAACTGCCCTGTGAGGTAGGTTGGGCTGAGAGTCTGTGACTGGCCCAAAGTCACCCGGTTGGCTCCATGGCTGAGCAGGGGACTAGAACCCAGATCCTCTGAGTCCCAGTCCCATGCTCTTAACTACTACACCACACTGGCTCTCAGTGATGTCCTGGCATTGTTATCTTCACGACCGATTTCCGCAAGGGACTCTGTGTGGGACTAACTTTGAGGCTGCCCAGAAGCAGCAGCCGGTGCAGAGGAAGGCTGCCTGGCTGTTGCCCAGCGCCGCTCCGTTTCCGCACGGAGCACGTCTGCCAAAATCCACTGCAGGCACATTGCTAGTCTTTAAATTCCTGGGACCGTGATTCTTGGGGATGCCTCCTTCTAGAGCCTGGAGGCAATTTGGCAAGGTTCCTTCGGGAACGAGCCAGCCCTGCCCGGTTCTTAAAATTTCCCAAAGGATGCAGCTGAGGGATCCCAGACTTGGGTGCGGCTACAGGGGGCTGTTTGTGGTCAAGAAGTCATGGCTTGTTAGTGCCGCTGGGACGAAGACCGGCCAGGTAAGAACGCAGCCCGGGCAGGTTCTTCCCTGGTCTTCAGGTCCTTCCTTTGCGGGTCTTCAGGAAGGCTTGGAACACCCAGCGTCAATTCTGGGCTTCTGGTTTGATTTACAGACATTGTTTTTGCAGTATGTTATCGTTTATGTTTACATTTGTTTTTCCAGGGCAACTTCTTCTTCCTTCTCTTTTCTCCTCCTATATTCTTTACTTATTTTATACTGTTAATTTTAATTTTACATTATTGTATCTCAGTGTATTTTTTGTATTGTTGTATTTAGTGGTAACTTATTATGTTCTATTGTATTTCAATGTATCTTATTGTGTTGTAAGCCGCCCCAAGGCTTCAGCAAGGGGCGGCATAGAAATGTTATAATAATAATTATTATTATTATTATTTTGTATTCCAACTTGGGAGGGATCTGCCCTTGAAAGTAGCCTAAAATAGTTTGAAGTAAATGAATGAAATGTTTCTTTTAGGGTTTGGCCAAAGTCCGGAGGTGGAACAAACGGAAAAACAGAATCTAATGCTTGTCTTCTGCTTTTCTGCTTCAGCAGATCATACAGGTGTTGGAAAAGCATACAAGTCTCATTCTCATTTCAAAACAAGATGGGAGACATTGGTAGTAATCTTGTGGTTTGCTGACTTGGGAGTCGTATTAAGCAAAACGCCCCACAGAACTGTTTTCAGTTCTGCTGAGTGACAGTCCAGTGTGCAGCCCGTTCTTCTCTCGCCCTGCGCAATTTAGATATCCCTAACTCCACTGCACACAATTTCTATAGCCCTGCTACTAATTCAGCCCCGAAGTATGTCGCTAGGCCTCGGAACGGCACCCAAAATCTGTGACCATGCAGAACAGTAATGTGACAGCCCAGCTCATGACTTGGTCCTCTTGCTCTTGGCCCAATTCAAATTTCCCCCATGCACCACCACCCAAAATCCCTACAGCCCTGCTGCTAATTCAGCCCAAAAGCGCAGCATAGTTTGGTTTTAAGTGGGAGCGGCATGGGGATTTGGCCTCTGGATTCCCAGCTTCAGATCACAGGATCTCAAGAGCTGAGACTTCAAATAATCCTAGAGCTCACTGGAAAACGTTGGAGGCCACAGGACCACAGCCGCAATGGGAAAATGTCTGTGAACGTGTGGAAGGAAAGGCAATACAGAGGCAAATATGAAAAGCTGGGACAGAAAGAGGGCAGATTTAGGCTGGCCCTGCTCCGCACTGCGGGGAAGCCCCTGCTCACAGAAAGCTGTGTTGGCCATGTACGCACAAAACTTGTTCTTGTTTCTTTTCAGCTGTTTGAACATCTGTCCACAAATGCTATGGCACCAATTCATTCTATGATTGTCTTAGATACATTCACTTGTTCTTGATCAATGTTTTAAAATAGGAGCATCTAATGATGTAGCGACTATGTTGAGTGCAACACAACTCAGTCCATCTCAGGACCAAAATAACGGCGTCCTTCTGAATCCAGATGCAAACAGGATGAGCCTTCTTGAAAAAGGGGTCTTCACAGTTAGATAATCCTTCACTTCTTCCTCCAGCAGTGGAGAGACGAGCAGCTGTTTTTCCCCTCCAGAGATACCACAACCAGGGAGATCGTTAGCTGCCCCCCCCCCCCCGCCATCCTCTTTTGGGGCAAGGAAATGGGGAGAGCAAAGAGCAGCCACCTCACTCCAAACTTTATTTATTTATTTATTTATTTATTAAAACATTTCTATGCCGCCCCTTGCCAAAGCCTCGGGGCGCCTTACGACACAATAAAATACAAAAATAACAATATAAAATTAACAATATAAAATAAATAACAATCATCAGGAGGTGTGGGCTGCGGAATCATCAATACGCTGATGATACCCAGCTTTACCTCTCATTCTCCACTAATCCAGGTGAGGCAGTGGCTGTGCTGAACCGGTGCTTGGCCGAGGTAAGGGAATGGATGAGGGCCAATAAACTGAAACTCAACCCAGACAAGACGGAGGTCCTGTTGGTTGGCGGATCGGGTTTCGGAGAGGGTGGATTTGACCTGGTCCTGAATGGTGCAACACTCCCTCTTAGGGATAAGGTCCGCAGCTTAGGAGTACTCCTCGACCCGGAGCTTTCTTTGGAAGCTCAGGTGACAGAGGTGGCGAGGAGCGCCTTCCTTCAGCTTCGGCTGATTAATCAGCTGCGCCCCTACCTGGAGTACTACTGCCTGGCGACAGTGACACACGCGCTGGTGACTTCCCGCCTAGACTTCTGTAACGCGCTTTACGTGGGGCTTCCCCTGAAGACAGTCCGAACACTTCAATTGGTGCAAAATAGAGCTGCCAGGTTGCTGACGGGGACGGGGCGTTATGCTCACATGACTCCAGTCCTCCGTCAGCTTCACTGGCTTCCCATTGAAGCCCGGGCCCAATTCAAGGTGTTGATTATGACCTACAAAGCCCTAAACGGCTTGGGTCCTGGCTACCTGAACGAGCGCTTACGTCCGTATATGCCCGACCGCCCTTTGAGATCTGCGGGAGAGTCCCTTCTCCGGGAACCCTCCATGAAAGAAATTAGGAGAGTAAGTACCCGGAGGAGGGCTTTCTCTGCGGTGGCGCCCAACCTATGGAATTCACTCCCCAAAGAGGTCCGCCTGGCACCGTCGTTACTGGTTTTTCGGCGCCAGGTAAAGACCTTTTTATTTAAACATCATTTCAATTGTTAAAACATATGATCTGGCCTGGGCAACTTCTTCTTCCTTCTCTTTCTCCTCCTATATTTTTATTTTATACTGATAATTTTAATTTTGTATTTGTAAATCAATGTATTTTTTGTATTGTTATATTTAATGGTAATTTATTATGTACTATTGTATTTCAATGTATTTTATCATGTTGTAAGCCGCCCCGAGGTTTCGGCAAGGGGCGGCATAGAAATGCTATAATGATAATAATAATAATAATAATAATAATAATAATAATAATAATAATAATAATAGAAGTCGCCCTGGCCAGATAAATAAGCAAATATTGTTAACAATTAAAATGACATTTAAATAAAAAGGTCTTCACCTGGCACCGAAAAACAAATAACGACGGCGCCAGGCGGACCTCTCTGCAGTGAACTTCTGATCACTGCACCATTCTGTCTTAGGCTTGTCTCCACCAGAAGGAAAGCCGGACAGACGAAACAGCGTTCTGTTCCCTACTCAACTCCCTGGGCAGATTTAAGTCAGAAATTACAAATTAAATTCCGTTTATTCATCCTTCTGCAAAGCAAAAACTAGATCAACAATGATCTAGATTGTTAAATTATTAAATCAAATCTCCAAAAAACAGAAATATATATTCAGTATTAATTTCACAGAAATCAATAGAGTTTGATTAATCTTCTGCAGTGTGTCAAACTGCTGATTTCCCCCCGTCAGTCTAATAAAAAGAGTTAACTTTGCTATCATAACAAAATCTCAGATCTTCTCTAACTCAGGGATCTCCAAATTTTCTGGGCACATCTGCCATTCTCAGAACATGTCCTAGGCGCCCGATTGTCACCTCTAAAGGTTGAGGTGGCAGCCATGGGCATGGCGGGAGAAGCCACAACCCACTGCTCACTTGGGCTTTTCCTCGTGCTCTCTGGCTCCCCCCCCCCCACCGCTTTATTTTTTCATCTGACTATTCTCTCTCTCTCTGGCTTCTCTAACTCTTCTTTCTTATTATCTGCAATTCCACTCCATGAATGGGACAACTGGAAGGAATGTCTCCATCCATATTCATATCCAATTTGGATAAAGATAGAAATCCTTTAAATAAATAAATTCATTTCCATGATTCAAATGCCTTGAAAACACCCCCCACCCCACTATAATCTACCTTGTACTAATCAAAGCGAACACTATAATCACTCCATTCGCTTCCACAGCAGCAAAAAACTTGGGGGGTGCCCCAGCCTGGTCTTGTGGGTGCAGCAGTGTCTGCAGGCTCCACAGTGAGACCCCTGATCTAAGCCTTCATTTATCACAGGTAAATCTTGAGGCCACCAAAGCTTCCCGCAATCCGAAGGAATCTCACAAATAGCTCAATCACAAAACCGCTTGGTCTGATTGAAGACGTCTGTACGAGGCAGGATGCGGAAGCACCGACTTCTGCGGGAAGGCCTGTCCGTCTCGGAGACGTGCAGAAAGGATCCCACCTGGCACCCCATCTCAGCCCGCAGAGCCTCCGGGGTCCTCCAGGGAGCGAGGCTGAGCTTCTTAACCGCCACTGCCTTGTGTCCGATGTCAGGGAGAAGGCAGGGATGTGGGTGGCTTGGGTGCAGCTCACACTGCGAAGGGAGCTTCCCCGCCCAGCGGCAGCTGGGATTCTTGGATGTGACGCAGAGGCTCTTCCAAGATTGAGGAGGGTGGAAGGGGGACAGAAACGGGTGCCAGGCTGATGAAATCAAATGGGCACTTCAGTTCCTGGAGAGGAGAGAGAGCTGCGCTGGTCTTTGAGTAGGAGGGAAACAGGTTGGCTGCTTCAGAAACACACCCACAAACTGTTCTCAGCAGCCAAGCCTAACTCTCTTGGCCAGTCTAAACATACCACAAAAACATTTATCTATATATGACTTATTAAAAGATTTTTTTTTCAATCCCAGAATCCTAGAATAGCAGAGTTGGAAGGGGCCAGGAGGCCATCAGGTCCAACCCCTGCTCAGTGCAGGACACCAAGTCACGCCGTCCCACACAGATGGCTGTCCAGTTGCATCCTGAATGCCTCCAGTGTGGGAGAGCCCACCATTTCCCCGGGTCCTTGGTCTCATTGTTTTAATGCTCTAACAGGCAGGAGGGTCCTCCTGATGTCCAGCTGGAATCTGGCTTCCTGTCACCGGAGCCCGTTATTTCCTGTCCCACACTCTGGGATGCTCCTGGCCCTCCTCTTTGTGACAGCCTTTCTGGCACGAGCAGAGCCCTATCCTAGCTCCCTTCAGTCTTCTCTTCTCGAGGCTAAACATGCCCAGTTCTTTCCGTCTCCCCACAGAGGGCTCTGCTTCCAGTCCCGGGACCATCCCTGTTGCCCACCTCTGAACCCTTCCCAGCTGATCTGCATCTTTCCTCAACTGTGTTGCCCAGAACTGGGCACAGAAGAGGCCCAACCAGTGTTGAATAAATGAGAACCAGGAATCTGAAGTGATCCTTCTATTAATGCAACCCGAGATAACCTTTGCCCTTTGCCGCAGCCACAGCAAATTGCGGAGTCAGACTCAGCCTGCGAGCCACAATCCCGAGCGCCTCCTCACCTGCAGTGTTGCTGAGCCAAGGACTCCTCTTCTATTGAAATCTGTCCATGGAACAACAGACCGTAAAGTGTCTCCAAGCACCGGATTCCAATGGCACTTTTCTGGGGGGAAAGGGTAACGGATGGGGGGCATGTACCCCCCGTTCCATGCAACACGTCCCTATTTTGGGGTGGCCCTGGTAGCAGGCCAGTAGTGAAGGCACCCAGCCCACTGGGCAGGGGAGACCAAGCCTCTGAGAAGTTAGTGCATCAGGCCAGTCCTATGTTCTGCCTACGGGAGAAGCCCTGGGGTCTGGAAGGCATCTTTCCACCAGGACCCGGAACCCAGCCAGGGCTCCCTCCACTCTTCAGCTCGCCTTTCCACCTCCCGCTCGCTGCCCCCTAAAGCCAGCCTCCCTGTGTTGGCGTAAGCACGCAAGAAGAGACGGCAACACTCACGCGATGCTCCTCTGTAGCCTTTCCGGCAGGTACCTGTCAAAGCACAAACGCAGGCGGAACTTCAGGTCGGAGGCCATCCAACGTGGACCATCGGCAGGAACAAAGGCCTCCTGAGGGATGCACAGAAGTCCTGCTCCCAGACTTATCTGGACTCCCCCAAAGAGTAAACTTGAAGGAAATGGAGCCCCCCGACACACACGGACCTGGATCACACCACATGGCAAGCCGCGGTGATGTGATTTAGGTATGTGAAGGATGTCACACAGGAGAGAGTCGTGACCTGCTCGCCCCTGCGGTGGTGGGCAGGATGCCTTCCAATGGGGCAAAGCTCAAGGAACCAGGATTCAGGTGGGATGTGGGGAAGTATGGAAGGTGGTGGAGACCCCATCAGTGAGGACATTCAAGGAACGATTGGACAACCACGTGTTGGGGATTGCATGAGTGGAGCCGGGGGTCAGGACCCAGATGGCCCCACTGCGGACAGCCAGTGCGGCCTATCCTGTCCCTGGGGGTCTCAGGGTTTTGCTCCAGCAACTTCTGCGTGGAAAGCTTCAGCACCCAGACTCCTCCACCCCGAGGAAGAGGCCCTCCCTTCCCGGCACCCCTGCCGCCTCTCACCTCCAGGCTCCTCCCAGGCCAAGTTCAGGGGCTCCGGCAAGGCGTCGTGCCCCACGCGGCACCGGAAGCGCCCCCTTTCCGCAGGGTCGATCCTGATGCCCACCCAGGCGTGGTACGTCCCGTCAGAGTTCGGGGCCAGGACCCCCCGGAAGGTGTCCGGCAGCCAGACCTCCCCGTCCCTGGTCCACGCCATGTCGATCTCTCGGGGGTAGAAGCCGTGGGCCCAGCAGGGGAGGGTCTCCGTGTCATCCTGGCCGGCCTTTCTTGTCAGCTTCATCTTGGGGGGCTCTGCAAAAGCACCAACAGCCGTGTTAACACAGAGCCTGTCCAACATCGGGCGGGGGGAGCTTCTCTTGAACATGAGGGAATTTTTTCTCATTCAGCCATTGAGTCCTGATGCAAAGCAGGGCCGATCCTGGGGGCCTGGCAGGGGAGGGTCTCCATGTCAACATGGCCAGCCTTTCATGCCACCGTCATTTCTGAAGGGGCTGCTGGCACGGGGGAGCTTCTCCCATGTGGCCATCAGCTCCTGACAACTTTGGCTGGCAGAATACCTGTGATATTTTTTTTAAATCCCTGAATGGGGTTCTTCAGGACCCTTCAGCAACTTGATGAGCTTTGAAAACACACAGCTAGCTTTTCCTGAGCTTAGGGCAAATACCTGGAAGCTGTGTTGCTTCCAACCCCTCCAAACTCAAGGTCAAAGCGTTCTGCCGGATAATCCCAGGGAACGATGCACCTCAAGGGAGGCGCTTGCCCTCCTGAGCCACCGAGAGGTCTCTGCCCTTTTGCTCTGGTCCATCGTGCACCAGCAGAGAGGACGTCCCCCAGCCCTCTGTTCACACGGACACACAACACTCCGAAAGTCCATTCCGCAGAAGATTCAGAGCTGCCACTGGGTTTTAACCTGACACTGTCCAGGCAGCAAATACTCCTATTCCACCATCATTTCATTCTACGTTTTAACAGTTGGACAGCCGTCTGTGAAACCACTTTATAGAGAGAAGCTAACAAAAGGCTCCCAGGCTCCCGTCTGTCCGTCAGTTGCCCTGAGCAGTGGAACCCTGCCCACTGCCTCCAGGCGGGCAGCCCGGTCCCTGTCCAGAGCTGACCCACCTCCATTGGCCAGCTCCCGGCTTCCTGCACCCCTTCTCCTTGTGTCTCCGTCTGTGGGGGGGGGGGGGGGTCCGTGTCTCTCAGAGTTGATGGCTCTCGATGGCTTCAGCGGTCCCTCCACTGCCACCTGCCAAGACGCCTCTTGGTTTGCTGGGGGAAAGGAGCATTCCTTTGCCTGCACTTGCTGGGAGCTGTTGAGGGGCTGCCAAGGTGTCCTCTCCTGGGGGATTTGTTTTGCTCACACAGACAACACTGGCCATCCCCGCAGGGTCGCTCTGCTTAGCCTCCTTCGCTCTGCTGTTCCCTGCCAGAGGTCCATCAAGCACCGCTCCTCCTCATCTCACTCCCACGGGCTGGCCCAGGACCAGGGCTTTTTTTGTCATAGAACGCACCGGAACAGCGTTCTGGCACCTTTTTTTGACGGATTTTTCCAAGTGATTGTGAATCGCCCTGTTGGGTATAGCAGATCGGCGGCAAAAATCATTAACATAGTGTCTGCGGGCTGCTTGTGTGTTGGCGCTGATTGTCGGTGCTGATTGTGAGGGCGCTGCTCGGCTTGGGATCAGTTATGCGGTCGCGCGCTGAGTGCTTACAGCCAGCAGTGACCATTGTGTAAAAGTGTGACCCCAAGACGTGAGTTCCGGCACCATTTTTTTTTTTTTTTTTTACAAAAAAAGCACTGCCCAGGACATTCGCCCCCTCCTGAGCTCCAGCGAGCCCAACGCTCGTCCTGGCTTGCGAGCATTTCCTTATGGCCGGGTGCCTCCCCTAGTGGTGCTCACCATAAAGGCCACTCTGATATTATTTACATATGTTTTCATGCACCCCACTCAGGAAGGGGCACGTGCCCCTGGGCTTCCGCAGCACTGGCAGCCTGGCAGCCCCATCCCCCATCCGGCCTCCGGGGAGTCTGCACGGCTCAGCAACACACGGGGTCCCCATCCGAGCAGCCAGAGGTCTCTCTCAGCTCTCCCTGTTCTCCTGCTCCTTCGCCTCACCTCAGCTCACCCTCTGCCCCGCCTCCTCTCCTTCCCTTGCGGGCAGACACTTCCCGCTCCAGCGGCCCCGTGTCCCTCCAGCGGGGCCACCAGCGCGCGCCTGTCACACACGCGGGCCAGGCTGATCCCGAGCAGGGGAGCAAAGCACATGGGCTTCGCAGGCCGCCTCCACCACGGAGTCCCTTCTGCACCCCCCCCCCCTCGGATCCTGCCTCCTGGCAGCCCTTGGGGGCATACTCTGCCCTGCCTCTCCATGGCTAAAGGGGGAAGAGCTGCTGGGACCTCCCCCTGGGGCTCCGCTGCCAGGCTCCCGCTGGGGCTGCCTGGCTGCTCGCTCTGATCGCGCCCTGTGGGCCTTCCTGCTTGCAGGGCCCTGGACCGGCCGGGGCAGCATCCCCGGCTCTGCTCTGCCCCACCAGGCGTCAGGACACGGGATGGGTGCCTCCCCCCCGCACCACAAGGGGAACTGGCCAGAGGCAAGGAGGGGCCCCTGCGCAAAGGCAGTCCCAGCTCCGGCCTGAGCAGGCATTTCCGAGGCCGGAACAGGGACACCGACACAACTTGGAGTCCCCAGAAAATGCCGGAAGCTGCACCGTTTTTTCTTGGATGAAGCAGTCAATTCAAGAGCTCATCTGGCCTCTCACCACGCTGCCCATCTCCTCTGAACCCTCCTAGACTAGCCAGGAGGGAGATCTAAAGCAGCCAAAAAGAACGGGCGCACCTGGGGGATCTCTCAGTTGGGGTGGCAGGGAGTTCCTGAGGCCCTGGGAACACGCTTCCCACTCCGCTTCCCCTTCGGCAGCTCCACCTGCGCCGTGACATGGAGCAGGCAGGGGAAGCAAGGGCATGAGGACTCATCTTGGGAAATACTGCTTCAGAGGAGGGCGTTACCTTTTCCGGGAGAGGATTGCGCTGCTGTAGCTCCTCTCCCCTCCTGCCGTGCTTCCCTGCCACCAGCTTCCCTTCCTCTTCACTTGCCTGCCAGGCTGGGAATGGGGTCCCCAGTCAGCACCCCCTCTCAGCCCCGAGTCCCTCCTGACCTCTGCTCACCTGCACTCTGGTTGAAGATCGTCTGCAGAGTCTTCATCCCACCTATCAACTCGACCTCATCCTGCTGGGTGTACCTCTTCCGGTGTTCGGGATGCTCTTCCAGCATCTTCCTCGTCCAGGGGACGTGAAGTCCGACCTTCCTAGTGTCGCTGTCATAGTGAGCTGCGGGCAAGTCATTCATGTACACCACTGCAGTGAAATCGGGCAGCGCCGGGCCAGGCTCAGACACAGACGTGTAGATGGTGCGGAAGACGCCATGGGGTTAGCCTGGGAGGGGAGAGAGCGGAGCTGGTGATGGGGATCCATGCCCTCGAACTGCAGGGCCTCAGAGGTCCACCCACCCTGCTGCAGCTCCCGCCAGAAGAGGCCCAATTCTGTCTGAGGGTGCCCGCACATGTGAGGGTCAGGGGAGAGAATTTATACCTATAGAATAGCCCCCCTTAGATTGTCAATTGTTCCCGGGAGGCTCATTTATAGGGAGGTTCAGAGATGAGATTTAAAGGTATTTCTTTATATTTCCATTTCTATGCCACCTAATACCTACAAAGTCCCCAGGAGGCTTACAAAATCAGATGCTCAGAAGCAGACCAGGAAGGGGAGTTAAGAAGAGGGAAGGTTGATGTGAAGGATGGGAAAAGAATGAAGAACGTGAGAGAAAGATCCTTTGGGGCAAAAAATGCGAAGGGGAGTCTGCCCAGGGGATGAAGAGTGTGGACAGGAGAGCTGTGGGGGTGAATTAATGCACATGGCAGCCGGGTGGGAGAATCGGAGAACCACAGAAGGGCAGAGCTGGAAGGGGCCTATAAGGCCTTCAAGTCCAACCCCGGCTCCATGCAGGACCACAGGCCAAAGCATCCCTGCCTGCCATGCGGCCAGCCAGCCAACTGCTTCTTGAATGCCTCCAGGCTACTGGGCATGTTCAGCCTTGAAAAGAAAAGGCTGAGGGGAGGGGACATGATATCCCTCCATAAGTACCTGTCACAAAGAGGAAGGTCAAGATCTCTTCTTGCTGATGCCAGAGTGTGGGACACAGAATACTCAATTGAAGTTGCAACAACCCAGATCCAGGCTGGGCATCAGGAAAAGCTTCCTGACTGTCAGAGCAATACGGCAGTGGGACCAGCTGCCTGGAGAGGTGGGGGGCCCTCCCACACTGGAGACATTCAAGGGGAAACTGGACAGCCACCTGAGTGGGATGGCGTAACTGGGTGTCCTGCAAAAGCAGGGGTAGGACCCGATGGCCTTCATGCCCCTTCCAGCTCTACTATTCTATGAGTCTATTCTTTTTATTTGCTTGCCAGATTTGTATACGGCTCTACAGCAATGATAGAGAATCACAAACTATACAAATAAGAGCACAATCCAGACTGTTCTTTAGAAGGTCACGTACTAAAGCTGAAGTTCAAATACTTTGGCCACCTAATGAGAAGGAAGGACTGCCTGGAGGAGACCCTAACACTGGGAACAATTGACGGCAAAAGGAGAAGGGACGGCAGAGGATGGGTTGGCTGGATGGGGTCACTGGAGAGGTGGGTGTGGGCTTGGGTGCACTCCTGGGGGTGGTGGAGCACAGGAGAACCTGGAGGAATGTTGTCCATGGGGTCGCAATGGGTCGGGCACGACTTTGCAACTGATCAGCACCACCAGCAGCAGCAGCAACAACACGATCCCTGGCAGGCCAACGCCATGCCGGCTGGGCCACCCTTCGGGGCAGCCTGCAGGAAGAGGTGCCTCTGGAGCAGATGCCGAGAGATCAAGCCCGAAGAGGCCCGGCTCTGGTCGGTGCCTAGGACTGCGAAAGGCCTTAAGGGGAGAAGCAACCCTGGGAGGGACCTGCTCCGACCTGCTCTAGGGCTTTACACCAGGCCCAGGACGTCCAGCCTGGCCGCACAGCCAGCGCAGTTCTTTGAACACGGGTGTGGACACTGCCCAGAAGGGGCTGTCATTACTAGTTGCACCACCAGAGGCCGCACCAAGCTCGAAGTGTGGCCGCTGCGGTCCAGGGACGGCTGCAATTTGCAACCGGGGCGGTGAAAGGCGCTCCCGGCCAGCGAGCCTCCGCAGCTCCCATGCGGCACGGGGGAACTTCGCGCCCCCAGCCCGCGCCCCATTTCTTCAGGGGAAGCCCGCCTGGCCCTCGCCCACCTCCCCGCCCGGGCAGCCTGCAATCGCCGACCAGAGGCCTGGACCCACGGCAGGAAACTCGGGATCGCAGGTGCAGCGCCCCCAAACACCTGCACTGGCAGGGCCGCTCCCCGACCCAAGGACTGCGGCACAGAAATGGGAGCCCCAGAATGTGTGGGGCTGCCCAGAGCAGAATCAAGGGCACGAGGGGTCGAGCTTTAACGCAAGAATTTCCTCCCATCATCACCGGCTCCTTCTCCTTCTGCCGCTTATTGTGGGGAGTGATTATGACAGGGAATAGGCTCCCTTCATGATCAATGCGCGCCGGGGAAATGCTTTGCGGCATCACGGCCTCCTCCTTCCCATCGATATCGGCATTGCTATTTCACCATCCTCCTTGTCGGCTTTTTCTGCCGAGTTATGGGCTAGTTTAGTGTTCACGATGACTGTTTCTCCGCTGCTCTCTGCTCCCCATTCTCCTTCTTAATACTATTGTTCCCGCATAGCCCGGAAGGGCCTCGCCGCAGACCCGCCCCGCCCCGCCCCGCGCCAGCGCCGCCGCCCCCTTCCCGCCCCCTCGCCCCCCCGCGGGACTCACCGGAGCCGCAGCCCGGCGGCAGGCGCCCCAGGAGCGGCAGGCGCGGCATGGCGGACGGATCGTCCACGACCCGGGAGCCGAAGCCGCCGCCGGATTGGTCGCGGGGCAAATATTCCGCCAATAGGAAAAAGGGCGGTCCGAGCGACCGCGGTTGCCGGGCAGATGTCTCAGGGCAGGGCTGGGCAGGGCTGGGCGGGGGAAGCGGAAGCGAACGCGAAAGCGAAAGCGAAAGCGACGGACAGGAAGCTGCCGGTATCTCTGGAATGCAGAGTAAGATCGAAAGGCGATAGGGATGTTTGCTGCCTGGACATCAGACACGGGGCCGGGCTGTGCGCTCCCGCAGGAACTTGTTCTTGCTGGCAGCGTGCGTAAAAGTATCTACAGGGGATTCGAAGCCTTTTCAGGTGCGTGGTTCCGCAGGATGGTTCGGCATGGTGATCCTGCGGAGAGCGGGAGGCAGGGGATTCGTCTGGATTAGTCCCAGCATTGTGGGATCATCGCTGTGGAGGCAGCCACGTGAAGGGACTGCAAAGCTGCCCAGTCCCCTCTGGTCCCCTCTATGCTTTCCTGAGGACCGAAACAGATGGCATGCAGGGCCGGTGGCCAGGACGTCAGAGAGTGCTTGTCAAATTAAGCAAAACACCCCACAGGAGGGTTTTCAGTTCTGCCAAGTTTCAGTCCCGGGTGCAACCCGTTCTTCTCTCGCCCAGTGCAATTTAGATATCCCCAGCACAGAAATCCTCAAAGGGTGCTGTTAATTCTCAGCCACAAAGGGGGTTGTGAGGCCACGGGACTGAATCCTAAATCGGGAAGTGCCAGCAAACCTCTGGCAGTAAAAACAAAACAGAAGCGCTTGCAAGAGGTGAGATGAAAAGGGGACCGCACCTTTTACAGGACTGCCTAAAGCAGCTAAGCTGCTGGCTGGAGATAAGATAGGAAGGGCTTGCTCCAGAGTAGGCCTCGCTGCTTGCTCCAGATAAGGCAGCTGGGGCAGGTGTCTCAGCCACCCTTTGTGCCAGATCGTTTCTTTTTTTCTCTTTCATGGGTCTACAGAACCATGTGACGTGTAAGGTTTTGGCCATGTGATGCTCCGTTTACTATGCATTATAAAAAGAGGACCTGAGGGGCTGCTGTGGTTTCAGTGTGAAAATTCAATGCAAGCAAATTTATTTTGCAAATGAATTTGAACTTCACTCCACCAGTCATGTCCCCAGTTGGCTCTGAGTCCACAGTTGGACTTCATTTACACCTGCCATACAAGCAACACTGAGGTTGATTATGTTCAGGCGCCACAAGAGGAAACTGGCAATGCCCTCGAGGGATCCATGCCAGCTTTGCCACTCTCTGCTTCCCTGGACTTGAGGGCCAATCTCTTCCTCACTTCGCCAAGATTTGATGTTTCAGGAGGATTAACATCAGTTCCGTGCATATATGGGAAGCTGCTCACCCCTCCATAGAGGTGCAGCCTGCATTTCTGCCCTGCCAGTTTTAAATATTCTTTTCCTCCCTCTGCGCCAGAGGAGCCAGCCAGGAGCGTGTGGCTGGGGAGGGGAATGAGGGAGTCCTGACCGGAAGGGAAGTGCAGGGAAGGATCGTGGCCCCAGGACAGGGACAGGGCAGGGGCAGAGGATTGTGGCCCCAGTACAGGGACATCGGGGGACACCAACAGTGGAGGGGAAATCTCTGGAGGTTTTTTTAGAACAGAAGCAGGCGAGGGAGGAGAGCTGACCCCCTCCTCCACCCCAAGCATGTTTAATACTAGACTGGGTTTCTAATCCAGATCTTCCTGGGGCTAAAGGCAGCCAGGCAGGGGAAGGGGAGAAGATGGAGGAGCTGCTGCCCGAAGAGCTCCACCAGCTCCCCGTTTCCCCCACAGACCCACCCCTCCTTTCCAGCACTCCTTTGCCATAAAGCCTCTCGACCTGAAGCCACTGTGCGCAGGTCTCCTCCACGTAGGCCCTGAAGCGGTTGGCAAGGTAAGGGTT